TAATTATCATTTTTAACTGTACATGTATGGTACATTATTTGTGAAAATTATTCAATTTTGATTTAACAATTGAGAAATTTAGTTGCTAAACTTGTAGAGAGTGTTTAATATTTACTGTAGTGTATTCTGGGGTTTTCTGGCTGCTTAGTTTATTCTTGTGTGTGAAAGGAATCAATATTTGCTCCCAGTCAGATTTAATATGTAGTTTTAGGTTGAACCCCTCTATTATTATAATATATTATCTTCAGTTTTGTAGCAGACTTGAGGATTCGGTAATGCTGGCATCCAGGCCACCTTAGAAAAATTACAAAATGCTTGTAAAATATACAGAAAATACATTTTTCATGCAATGAAGTTGGACAATCTTGGTATCCATGGAACACCTACTTTTGTGAGATATATACCGGTACATGTATAATGGAGAACATGTATGTCTATTCAACATATGTGGTACACTGGCTCACAGGCGACTTTTTTTTTGATGTGCATACTAATTATCTAATTTGCATAATAGGTTAATTCATGCACCATGCATTTTCTGCTCATATCTCAACACAATTGAACTTACCAAGAGACTTGTTTTGTCCTCTCAGTGTTCCATTTTCTCTCGTCAACACGTCTGGTAGAATAAAACAATGATGGGGGAGATTGGAACTAATATGTGGAACAAAAACAAGTCTTGTGGTTCTCTCACTTTCAGTGAGATTTTGGCGGCCATTTATGTTTGTCGACATGACGAAGATTCACTCAGTGCCATGTAGAATATTCCACCAATGATTTCCTATAATATACTGTGGAATACTTTATTTTCGCTGCATGGAATTAATTTTCGTTGAAAAGGCTTTTTGAGCGTTTTGTATAGAATTTATTTTCACTGATTTTTGATGAGTTTAATGTGAAATATAGGAAAAAAAGTATATTCGCTGGATTTTATTTTCACGGAATCATCCCTTCAGCGAAAATAAATACCAAGCGAAAATAAAGTATTCTACAGTATTGCCTTTTTTATTCACTGATTTTAGACCTAACTTTAGATAAATATTTTGCAATGATTCTTTGAGTACCAGTAAGCTTGAAGACTGTCAGGCTATACATGGCAAACCAATTTAACTGTAAATCCTGATATGTAAAAAAGCAAATCTATATTCTATTGTTAGCGTATAATGTCTGTTTCAAGCTTTCAAGATTTAAATTATCTACGTAGTTGATTAAACGGCATAGTATGTACATTTCAGGTCAATACAGTAATCCAAAGAGCTCATAAAGTCAATGTACTATTAAAAGCCGTTGTTATTTTATATCAATATAAAGCTCGTAACTCCATGTCACAGAATATTCTTTTGAAAACAGACTTCATGCTCCAGTAATTTTGATTTGCAATGTTTACCTTGGTTACTAAACATTGATTGATTGATAGTTTCAAAGAAGCATGTGACCTTTGGCTTATCAATTATTATGGGAGTGTATGAACCTGAAATTATTATTTTATTTTTTATTTTTTCATGAACCTGAAATTAGTCACTTGGCAAGTTTCAACACTAGATGGCACTGTTTAGTTATTGAATTAATAGGATACATATTTTTATTAAATATCTGACAATTAAGGAATAAGATTAAGAGAGTTATTTTTATATAACCATTGAACACAGTCACTGCCTTTTTATGTGTCCTTTTCACATAATTTCTTTGAATAAAATGTCAATGTAAAACATATACTCCTATTCAGGTTGTCACGCAAGCTTTGTAAGGATGCAAAATCTTCTGTGAATTCTTGAACGTCATCAGAAAACTAACGAGTTGAAATGAATGAAGCTTGTTTGGTAGCTCGGATCTCAAGCGTGAATGTACTTTCAATCACAAATGCACTTCAAATATGAAACTAGACATACACAGGGATGTACGTGCAGCAGTGAATCGTGTTCTTATCCTATTACAACAACGATAGATATTGTGAATTATATTTCATTTCATTCATTGCTTTGAGTTGATCCCTGCTTGGCCTAAGCAGGTGCTCAATAATCTGGTTATGAATAATACCATTGATGAAAGTACCAAAAGACATTTTGATTTCTATTGGCTTCTCATTTACTTCATGCATTTAGAATCTAGTAATAAATGTGCTGCTGAAATATGCAAATATTTTGGTATTTCTTTTCTTAGTACTGTATAATTTGACGAAATGACAGACTAGTGAAGGTTTCCCTTAGATTCTTTAGACATGGCCACCACGTCATTAAGTCACTATGATTATTTACAAGTAAAATTGTGATTTCCAGCTAATTAAAGGATAAGAAAATATTCTGCCCTGGAAATTTGAATGCTCTTCAATGTGTACCATATTTATTTCTCTGCAGAAAATCTGTTTGGTGACAATATTTTTTATCTGTATCTGTTAAAAGTTATGTTTTTAATATACATACCAAAATCCAGAGAGCATTCATGACTGTAGTACACCAATGGCCCTACTTTTTATTATATATCAATACAATTGGGTGATCAGGTGATGTTTAACATCTTTACAAAAATATGTATTCTGACATATGAAATAAAGTAGTCCCACAAAAGTTACACACCTGTACTTGTAGAATAACATAGACATAAAAACAAACACTTTTAAATAGGTCATAGTAATTTTTAATTGGCATAATTACATGTGACAGATTTTTCAAAAAGTCTAAATGTTGGCAATTCAAAAAATGTGCCCTTTCACCCTTATAAGCTTAATTCAATGATTGGTAAAGGACAGTCAGAAGATGAAAATGAAATTTTAAAATCACTTCTGGAATTTGAATCAATGTGAAACAAGATTGTACCTGATTGGCTACCCAGCCCTAACAACTGACAGTCAGACCAATCAGAGAGTGGCTTGTTTGTTGACAGTTTTTTTGATGTATCAAATTCTTCTTGGACTCAACTGGAAATTGATGGAATTATTCAGGTTATGCATTTGTAACATGTAAATCTGTAGCCCAGAAACTGAATACACTTGTATTGAAACATTTCTTAAGAAATAAATTCAAAATCTAAAAAATCAAATGGATAAAAAACTTACTTATAAAATAGTTACAAGACCAACATTTAAAATTACAATTTTTAGAATACGGTAGTCACCAAATAAAAAGTCAATGTGCAGTAAATCGGTATGGGTAAAAAATGTTTCACTCACATGTGTCTGTCACCATGGCAACATTTTTTTAGATTTCATTGTTTATCCAGCATACAAGAGTAATTCTCTGATGAAGTTTGATCAGCTTATAGTTGCCATGGCAGCCGGTATATTAGATATCTTATATTGCTGGAAAGAAGATCCTTAATTAGATTCAAACCTTCTTTGAATATTCTTCTATTAACAAGTACCGGTATTACTTTAGATCAGATTGATGCATTTTCACATTTTATATACAAGTCTTGATATAAATTTTCTTAATTTTAATAAATTTTATTTATTTTATAAACATTTTCTGCAGGTTTATTTTGTGAAAGGTTACAAAATTTCATATGGTCATGTGACTTCTTATAAAAGAATACAGCTAATAAAAAAGGACCTCTTGAGCTGTATGTAAATTTGATATATATATTCATTGAGGAAATTGCATTAATATTATCTACGTGATGTGGAATCACATTTGCACATTTTTTTTTTTAAATGAAGTGTTATTGGGCTTTAATAAGATTTAGATGTAATTACCATATAACAGATTGAAACTGATTACAAGTGAGCATATTTTGGTGCTAAGTGAGCATGCATACATGTTATTCCTTCACTTGATTCAATGAGAACCGCTTTTTTCTATAATGTACACATTGCTACCACTTCAAAATAACATTCACATAAGAACATATTAAATAAAAATAAAAATAAATGCCATGTATTAATTTTATTGCAACTTTCAAATGGCCGCCGAGATCTCATTGAGAGTGAGAGCGAGTCATGTGACTTGTTGCTGCCCTCAATTAGTGTTCCATTCTCTGCTGCAATCACGTCTACTTTTTCCAAATACTATGATTACATAGGTCAAGACCCCAGTGAACCTTTGCGTCTAGATATATTGGTTAAACAGCGGGAGATAAGTAGATAACACCGAGAATTCAAGAATATCAGATAACATGTTAAATATCTTTCAAAAAATGGAACATAAACATAAAATGAATTAAAAACAAAGGGGAACATTTTGTTTGAAATTCCTCTACCCGAGAACATTGCTCAGTCTTTATGTGTATGTCATTTGTCTACATCAATTCAGTACGTAATGGTGATTTGTGGCTTGTATAAAAGAACGTAGCATTAGGGGATTTATGAACTGTTAATGCATTACATAAATTAGGGTGACATTTTAAATTCAATTTGCAGTCAGTGAATGACGTACAGCATCTGTCAAATAAAATATCACACAAATGCAATATGCTGTTATTTTTAACACTTTTTAAAATTTTACAAACATTTTTTTTTCAACAATTATAATTAAAGGACGGTAGTAGAGATATATGGGTCTGATATAAACAAAGATGGTGACTTTGACTGTTGCGCAGATTAACATGTACAAACTGAGACGTTACCAAGCTTTAGTTAGGTATAAAA